CTTCAGCAATCTCCCAGCAATTTCCATCACAGGGAAGGCACTGCTCCGACCCAATGTATGCATGGGACGCAGTCTGAAAAATATCCATTATATAAAATATTTGGGGTTGGGTATGCTCAGGAATTGGGGATGGAGCGGGAGCTGAGGCTGCAGTTCACCTGGGTGCCTGGCACACCATGGCAGGGCACCGGCGAGTTTGGATTATTGGCTCTCGGTGCTGATGTTAATGCATAGGGTGTTTTCCATAACCTTCACCGATGCTTCCTCTCCATGAGCAAAATGTGAGCCTCAGGGAGATCTGAGCGAGAGGAGACCAAAGGGTTAATATTGTTCTGTTGCAACTGAGCTTGCATTGACTGTGCTGAACCTAGAGTCAGGCTCCGACTTTTAGAAGACAGCACATTTTAATAATACCCCACTCTCTGGATCTTATATGTTGGGGTTTTTTACCACGCTGGGGATATTTATAGCATATAAATCCCTATAACGCATTTTAAACCCAAAATGGATTCATGACCCACTCTGACAACACTCAACCTGTTCACTTTCCAAAACTGCCCCTTGCGTTTAACACCACCAAGACGTGCAGTCACATTGCGCCCGGAGGATGCGTTGGTGGTGGCCCTGCTTTCTGCCGGCTCCAGGAGGAAGGCTGACCATCTCCCTTTCCCCCCAACAGCTCGGACGTGACCTGGCACCACGAAGCACCTCCTTTCCAGGCGGTGCTCAACGAGAGCGAGCCCGCCTGGGGCTGGGAAGACGAGCAGGGCTTCTCGGCGCTCCGGCACTCCGGTAGGACGGCGGCTTTGTGCATGTTTCCCTGCCCCATCCCTCCTGCCAGCAGCCAGTGTGGATACTGTCTTCTGCACTGGCTTGTAATTAGTGCCCTGGCAGTTGCAGGAGGGGATGGACGTTCCCCTGTTAATGTCCTGTGTGACCACCTCCTTCCCCTCCATGAGCTGGAGGAGCCTTACAGCTCGTCCCATCAATGTGAGGATGTGCAAACCCTTTAGGCAGATGCTTCACTCTGAAAACCTGCACCCAGTATTTAGCTGTTGGTAAGGCAACAGTTCCCTGCCTGAATTTGCAGCCCCAGCTCAGAATTTCAAGGCTGAACACGCTCTTTATTTTGTCCATCATGTTTTAAATGTGTCTTTGGATTCACTAGAACTACTACGTGTTGGACAAACCAGCAACATTATTTAGAGGGTGGTTTTTGCCACTTCACGGGCAGGGAATTGGAAATTTCCAAATAAAAATTTATTTCCCTGATACACACAACAATTTTGGCATCAATTGCAGCTTACGATGCAATTCAAGATTGCCTAGCATTTAAGCTACGGTTTCAGCCGGGGAAGTTATTTCCCCCCCAGTCTGGAGGAGGTGGGTGCCGCGTGAGGTTGCTGCGAGGCAGTTTGTCCCCACGGCACAGTGTCAAGCTGTCCTCCCTTGCAATCACTGCATGCAAGCAGGCAAGTGTCATTTCCTCCTTTTTCAGAAAGCGGCATGATAAAATCTCGAAGATACAATAATTGAGTTAATTGAGGGGAAAGCTCCATCATTTGTCTGGGCAACTTCATTTTAAACGTAAATAAGTATATCATGTTATTCTTTGTTCTAAGATCACGGAAGTCATTACTCTGCCTTAACCTCTGCAACATTTCCTTTTAAAATTTCGTCTGGTACATTACGGTGTGGAAAATACCACAGGGAAAGACATGCGTGTTATTTGCATCCCGAGGCAAAATAATAAGGCCTTTGTTTCCCTTCTCTTCAAATTGTAAACAAGGAATAATTGCCCTTGGACTAAGATTGTATATTCATCCTGGATCTGAAAATAGGGCTTTTTTTGCACAGGGCTCATGGACCATGTGAAAACCTTTGACAGGTCCCAGGCTCTGCCCACGAAGGCTCCTGTCTTTTAAGTACAATCCACAGCCGTTTGCTTCCTTCTCTTTCCCCAGGCAAATGCGAATGTAAAGAGCAAGTTTTAGGGAATCCCAAGGTCTTCTGCGGGATGAAGTACACCTACGGTGAGTTTTGGGTGAGGTGGCAGGGGCATAAAGGGAGGTGCTGTGAGGTGGTGCAAGAGTGTAAAGCGTGAGAGGTGCTGCTGTGTGCACCGCTCCGTCCCTGCAAACCCATGGGCTACTTAGTCTGGGGGCAGATCTTTGACCTTTCCAAAATGTATAGATATCATGGTGCCAATTCAAGGTGGGTGAAGCATCTTGCTCTGTTACTCACCTCTCTTGCTAGCAAAATACTCTTGTGCTGAAATCATGGGAGGACAAGGGCTGGAAGGGTCCCTAAGAGGTTGTCTAGGTCCAAGACAGACTGGAAAGCACTGTTACCAAAAACGGGTCACTAAAACTCTGTCTGTGGACCAGGTGCCCCAAGAACGGTCTAGAAATCACTAAATCTGAATTACACTGAATGTAAGGAGGGACAGTGATCACCACACAAGCCACTACATGGAGAAAACAGCTCAGGCAGCTACTGGGAGCTTCCCCCTGTCAACAAAGTTCAGCTGTTGCCATGGGGTGATGTATATTGTCTACGTGTCTATTGGATTTAAATGAATGAGAGGACGCACTTTGTTTCCCAAGACCTCTCTGGTGTGTGCCAGTGAACTGCCTCCTTCATACCACAGCAGAGCAAGGAATGCTCTGTGTAGCACTCCCTTCCTTGACAGTCTTCCAGGGGTCTCTTGCACCTGTTTCATCTCGCACTGAAGTTGAAAATGCACAGAGAGATAACCCCTACATCTGCAGGCTGTGGAGCAACCCACAAAGGGAAGTTCAAGGGACCCAGAGCTGTTGAAATATAGCCCTGGCCTAGTGATATTAGGAAAAAATCTGATTCTGCTTTGCTGCTCCCTGGCTGGAGCAACCCACAAAGGGAAGTTCAAGGGACCGCCAGCTGTTGAAATATAGCCCTGGCCTAGTGATATTAGGAAAAAATCTGATTCTGCTTTGCTTTGCTCCCTGGCCGCGATAGTGACCGTGTTTAATCTTGCAAAAGATAAGAAATGAAAAAAAAAAAGTCACAAAAACCCCAAGTTCATAAATCTTATCTAAAGTGCACTCAGCCTTCCCACCCTTTCATCACTCAACGTGGAAAGGTGTCAGCTAAACTGGAGGGACAGATGAATTATGGGGCTCATCATGAGCTTCAGGAGGCCATACTGTAGGAGGAGAGGTTTCCCTGAGCTGCCTAACGTGCAGCGCTGAATAAAGCACCACCGTACGGTGATACCTACCAGTGTAGGCATCAGTGCAGTCAGGAGAAGGCTCACGCATGGGACCTGAACCCTGAGCCTCCACTGCACAGGGGCTCAGCAGGTGGGATACCAGGCAGCGGGGGTGTGCTGGTGGGTATCTGTGAGCTCAAAATACTCCGTGATTTGCCTCAGTCCCCACCAAAATCTCAGTCTCTGCCACTGCATTTGGATTTGGCAGTTCTGCAAAGTGGGAGGGCCAGCAGCAGGAGTGCTCACCAGGGTGGGATGGGGCAGCCCCTCACGCCCCTGCCTGCTGCCTGGCCTGCCCAGGCCAAGGCCAGCAAAGCCTCCAGGTCCATCCCTAAAAGCAAGGCTTTCCACTTGATTTCCAAAAGTGCTAAGGAAGCCAAAGTCTTTATTGAGCTCCGGGGGAAAATGGGGCCCTCACAAGTTTTGAAAATCAGGTCATTGGACCTCTCCCGCTGCTCACGTGGCAGCTCCAGGGGCCATGGCCAAACCAGCCGGCAGCATTCCTGCCCATGGGTATGGGGACACATGCGCTCCCCCGGCAGCTGCGCTGACCCTGAGCTCCCCAGCAAGGAGCATCAGGCTAACTCCACTGTAACGAAGTAATTGGCCTCACTGCTTCACCCAGACACCTGCATTAGACAAAACAAAAGAAGAGAGCACTGTAAATAGTTTATATATTCCTGGTTTTGAATTCATGTCTTCCCAGTGATCAAGACGAAGATCTTGTCAGCTCACGACAAAGGCTCCCATGCAGAAGTCAATGTGAAGATCAAGAAAGTCTTGAAATCTACAAAGCTGAAGATCCTCCGGGGCAAGAAGACACTCTACCCTGAATCCTGGACTAACAGAGGCTGCACTTGTCCCATCCTCAATCCTGGTAGGTTTGACTCCCTGAGCAGTACATCCCCACCACGTTTACACAGATTTCATTCCCACTCCTCCGTCCCCTCATGCCAATGAGCTGAGATTGCAGCCCAGTGTTCATTAAATTATTGGCTGTTACATCTTGGATTCCAACAGCAATCTGCATCAAATTTGAATTTTGTAGAGAAAAACTTGGTTCATTCTATAGACTTTCAAACATACGTTTCTCTTTATGAAGCATAATAACAGCCTTACAGCTTTACCAGTCTCAGTCTGTTCCCAGAGGGAGGGAGGTGCATATTACGCCACGACTACATGACATATCTTTTCAAAACTAATGATAATTTGAATCCATAAAAACATATTTAAATCTAATTTGAGTCATGACATTGTACTGAAGTTTTAATCTAAACTCAAGGGAAGATGTCTCTGAAAGTAACACTAATTTGCATCTACAAGATTTGGAAGAGATTGTCTTATGCAGTGAGATGGCAGCTTTGGCTTCGCAGCTTTTTCTCATCGTCTTTCACTGAAATGGAGTATAACCAGTGGTGGCTAAACAGTACATACAGTCTCCGGTACGGACAAGGAGATGCAGGCTCAGGGTTTTCTTCAATAGAGCAAAAGTAGGCGCTAGCTGACACACCTTTCTTTACAACTCCGAGATAAACCAACAGTTGCCAACTAATTCAGATAAAGGGTTTTCTTTCTGTAAGGCCCACACATCACTTGGAAATCACTGATCGAAATGTCGACTTCAGTGCTGAGACGTCCCTTACGTGCACAGCACTAGGAACTTCCTTTGGGGGAAAAGGGCTGTCTGCGAGGCTGGATCACACAGAAAGGCGATTTATTGATGAGTTGTTGGCAGTCTTCTTTCATCTCCACCGGAGTGACTATTTGGCTTTAAGGCAAGCTGCCGTGATAGCACAGCTATAGTCAGGAAGTCTTGTCAGGTGCAAGGGTCAGATGAATCAGCAGCGTTAGGCAGGACTTTGCTGTTTAAGCACAGTAAGACTTTGGATATTGGTAAAACACCATAAATCTATAATTAAATAAATACAGGTGTTTATTTTTCCATATGCAATACAAATGCAAGCAAGAAAGCCTTAATATGAACCTGGAGGAATGCTGTGGAAGCTGTCAGACGCTGATCATGCAGGGCAGCCCTGCACCTGACACGCAGCTTCGCAACTCCGCTAACTTCAGAGGAGCTTCACTGATTTTCCCCAGCAGAGGAAAAGATAACATTAATCACAGAATCGATGAAGATTGCTTGGAAATCTGCGGAAGGGTGGAGGTGCAATTGCCTTTAGGGACAATCCAGGCATCTGACACATTGGGTGTTACCCCCTTGCCAGCTGTCATGATTTACACTGCAAAGCTTGGTGTTTTCTTGAAATGCAGCTGCTGGAGTCCCATGAGTATAAATAAATCTCAGTTTTCATGTTGGAAAGAAGTTGTGAAGCTTGGTCCTAACAGGAAACTTGAAAATATCAACTGAGTCCATCTTTAAGATTCAATCATTGCAAAGTGGAAAAAAAAGGATCCCAAATATTTTTAAAAATTTCTTTATTTTTTTCAGCTACCACATTCATTTCTGGATGGTCAGCAATACTATATTAGCAGACTTAACCCTCTATCAGAGTAAGAGCTTATGACCTCCAGATGAATAAACCAACAACAGCTGGATAAAAAGCCAAGCTGACATAAAACAATTTCCTGACATATAGCTATAATGGAAACTCCAAGCATTTATCAAATCTCCATGGGCTGTTTTCAGATTATAAATGTGCTTAAGTTCCTATGAGAGGATATTCACTATCCTTGCACACCTTTCCCTGTGCATAGCAGCCACAGAGGCAGGCTGGACTACTGGGGGGACACTGAGCTGAAAGGTTTAAAGGTCTCAGCAGTCCACAAGGGAACAGGAGCCCTTCCCCTCCTCGGCTCTGCCAAGCACAGACACAAATAAGCAGAAAGCTGCCTGCCAGCAGCGCAGGGCAAAACTCACAGCCTCAAGTCCTGGCTTGCGGCATCTCAGTCGTTTGATTCCTTTTATTTTTACACTTCTGTAACATCTGGTTGAAAATCTAGAAAGCCCTACTGAATCAACAACCACAGCAATATTCACTTGCTCTCTAAGGGTGCATGCCACATTTCTTTCTCAAGGGAGGTAGATTTAGGAGCTCTTGAAGTGTGATGTTTATAACAGCAGGCTTGACACAGCCAAAATTAATGTCTTGCAAAGGGTGATACTGCCATACACATATCCTGTGTTTACTTGGCAGAAGAGAGGATGTGTGTGCCCAGAAATTCAGATGAAGTGGATAACAAATTGTATTGAATTAAAGAAAAACATGCTTGACCTTTAACTAGGGGACACTCTCCCTTTATTCTGAACTACAAAATGAAAACCCAAGAAGACATTAGCAGACTCCCCACTGTGGCCAGGATGGAGCAGGGCAACCGAGAGCACTGAGGGAGACCCATCTCCCCCAGGCTAGTTCTTACCGCCACGTGGTGCTCCCCAGACCAGTGCGAGGAGGAGGGGGTACAGCGGGGGGTCTCATGCTTGCTGTACCCCAAGCATGCTGCAGCGGGATGCTGGCCCTGGCAGGGAGCTCCTCCTGCCACGGGAGGAATTATCCTCCTTGTTATCCGGGTTTTTGGCACGTTCGTGGCCCATTTAGGCTGTTGGGAACTGTGGCAGTGTTTCTTTAGCTAATTCAAGCCAAAGGCTTCGCCCCGTTTCCCACTTAGCAGTTATTGCCTGGCTTCAAGCGCTCTTTGAGTCATGCCCCGAAAGCCAGGCACAGACCTGGATGCCTGGGGCAAGCCTTGTGCTGGGGTGCTATGGGGCTGTGCTCCAGCCCTTTCTGGCACCTTCTGGACACCAGGTGAGGCTTCACCAGATGCTGCTGTCATGCCTCTAAAACATCTGGTGGAGGCAGAAGTTAATGCCACTCTTTTCAGTGTAACTGCCACCCCCTCAGGCTCTTCTGGGGTGCTCGTGCCGGCAAATCTAGTATTGCCTCTTGGCAGGCTCCAGCATGCCTTTGCCTGCAAGGGGGCACTGGCCATTTTAAGCAAGACACCAGCACTGGGCTATCCTGTGCTGTCATTGCTGGAATGTGCTAAACCGACCGATTTCCAGGCCCAGGTATATTCAGGGAGGGGTGAGGCAGGTGGCTGCCAAATGAAGGTTCCCAAACGAGGTATAAAAACTTGTAGTGCAGCTGCCAGAGTTGTGCTTCCATTTATATTTAGAAGCTAACAAAATCAAAGTTTGCATACTGCATCTCACTGACAGATGCACCACAGGGGTCATTTTTCCATAGATATAGATAGAGGTATAGATATACAGATATATGAGAGAATCAATATGTGTAAATATTCTTCATCTAAGTGCTTTTTTACACAGGACTAGATAACCAGGCTGACTTTGCAGCGTCAATAGGCCTCTTAAGTGTAGTGCTGTGCAGTCCCTGACCGCTTTGCTGGTTTGCAGGCTTGGAGTACCTCGTGGCAGGACACGAGGATGTCCAAACGGGCAGACTCATCGTCAACATGAAAAGTTTTGTCCATCAGTGGAAGTCGGCTCTCGGAAGAAAGGTCCTGGAGATTTTGAAAAGAGACTGCAACTAGAGGTGCGTGACTGCCTAGGGCATTTCTTTATGCACAAAATGCAACAGCCTTCACAGAGAGAAGACCTCTAGGATGAAAACTGGAATGTAAGAAAATAGTGCCAAAACGTGTAGCGAGGCGTTCAGAGTTGTAGGCGCTGTCTAATTTAACCCTTCCTGGCCAATGTTCATCCACTCGCCTGTAGCTTCCTTGCCAGGGGCTCACCTGAGCCCAGCTCATCATTACGTTGAGGGAAACAAAAGGAAGGGCGGACGCTTGTCTCGCTTCAGTGCCATGTTGGAGCAACTCCTATGAAGCCACTGATCGCCCCAGACTAAATTGCCACCCTAGAGAGGGAAAGTGTACCCACAAGCTACAGCTGAGAAGCAAAACACTGCTGCCAGTGCTGCCTGCGCAGATCCTGAGTGACTTCAGCTCATCATTACGTTGAGGGAAACAAAAGGAAGGGCGGACGCTTGTCTCGCTTCAGTGCCATGTTGGAGCAACTCCTATGAAGCCACTGATCGCCCCAGACTAAATTGCCACCCTAGAGAGGGAAAGTGTACCCACAAGCTACAGCTGAGAAGCAAAACACTGCTGCCAGTGCTGCCTGCGCAGATCCTGAGTGACTTCCAGAGGCTCCGAGGAGGCTGTGTGGGGG